GCAGGCAGTGGCATTGAAGTGGGAGAGAAGCCAGCAGGGGCCGGAAGTCCAGGGCCTTGCAGGCCAGGATAGGAGTCGGGACTGTCCCGGGGGTAGTAGGGAGCCACAGAAGCATCTCAGCAAGGCTGGGGTGCGGGCTCATGCCTGTAGTCCCAGCACTTTGAGGCCAAGGCGGACAGATCACTTGAGGTCAGGAGTTTTGAGACCAGCCTGGCCAACATGGCAAAACCCCCGTCTCTACTAAATACACAAAAATTAGCTGGCCAGACGCGGTGGCTCACCCCTGTAAATCCCAGCGCAACTTTGGGAGGCCGAGGTGGGCGGATCATTGAGGTTCAGGAATTCAAGACCAGCCAGCCCAACATGGTGAAATCCCAGCTCTACTAAAAATACAAAAAAAAAAAAAAAATTTAGGTCTGGGCCACGGTGGCTGCACCTGTAGTCTCACATTTTGGGAGCCAAGGCAGATGGATTGCCTGAGCTCAGGAGTTCGAGACACCACCAGGGCAACATGGTGAAACCCCTGGTCTCTGACCGAAAATACAAAAAAAATTAGCCAGATTATGGTGATGGTGCTGTAGTCCACAGCTACTTGGGAGGCTGAAGCAGAAAGAATAGCTTGAGCCCTGAGGTGGAGGTTGCGTGAGCCGAGATCGCACCACTGCACTCCAAACTTGTGGCTACAGAGTGAGACTTGGTCTCAAAAAAAAAAAATGTAGGCCAGGCTAGGTGGCGCCACCTGTATCCCCGCTACCATGGAGACTGAGGCATGAATCACTTTGACTGGGAGGTGAAGTTGCCAGGAAACCGAGACATGCCACTGGCATCAGCCTGGGAGCAGATGAGATCTCTGTTCAATATGTATAAAAAAAAAAATTAGGCCGGCATGGTGGTGTCATACCTGGATCCAGCGACTCAGGAGGTGAGACAGGAGGTAAATTGGAAGACCCCAGGAGCAAAAGGCAAGGTTGCAGTTGAGCTGAGATCACGCCCACGCATCCAAGCCTGGCACACAGTGACACTCTGTCTCAAAAAAAAAAGAATCTCAGCAGGTGGAACCTGGTCAGACTCATGCTCTAGAAAGCTCTCTGGCTGCTGTGTACGGAGTGGGAGAGATTGCAGGCAGCCTGAGGGAGGCTGACGAGGGAGGCTGGTTGCAGTTGTCCAGGTGGGAGGTGGGTGGGCCCGGCCTGCAGTCGCCACAGGACAGCACCATCTTTTTTTTTTTTTTTTTTTTTTTTGAGATGGAGTCTCCACTCTGTCGCCAGGCTGGAGTGCAGTGGCCGGATCTCAGCTCACTGCAAGCTGCGCCTCCCGGGTTTACGCCATTCTCCTGCCTCAGCCTCCCGAGTAGCTGGGACTACAGCCGCCCGCCACCTCCGCCGGCTAGTTTTTTTTGTATTTTTTAGATAAGGACGGGGTTTCACCGTGTTAGTCAGGATGTCTCGATCTCCTGACTCGTGATCCGCCCTTGTCGGCCTCCCAAAGTGGCGGGATCTTACAGCGTGAGCCACCGCGCCCAGCCAGCACCATCTTTCTATCTGTTGGCCCATTGGTGGCTCTCAAGAGTTCCCTGGTGGGCAGGAAATGCTGAGGCTCATGCCCATACCTGCCCATGCTTTCCTCAGCCCTTGGTGCCCCTTCTGAGCACCCCCTACTGCTCACCCTTGGAGCACATTTCCCTGGCCACCTCCCATGTTGTCATCATGTCAGTCCTGCCTTGATGGTGGACACTTCCTAGTCAGTGTGGCTTCTGCCAGACAGTGGGTACCTGGAGTGCCTAAAGCATTGGGGAGGGTTTAGGACTTCAGTGTGGTTCTGAAGGATGGAGACACCGTGGCCAGGCTAATGGCCAAGACCAGGAGCTTCCAGAGGATTGGGCAGCACCACACTTCTGGCCAGGAAAGGCAGGGAGGCTCTCAGACCTTGTGTTTCAGATGCGCTTTGCTGCAGAACAAACCACCCCCAAACTTACTTGCCCCAAAATGGCTTGAAGCAGCCACTTCATTTATTCATAATTCTGTGGGTAAGCAATTTAGGGGTTAAGTGCAGCTGAGCAGTTCTCTTTTTGACCTTGCCTTGGGGTCACTGAAAGAGCTGTCATCACTTAGTAACTTAGCTGGGGCAGGAGGCAGTTAGATGGCCTCACCCAGGTGTCTGGCTCTCGACTGCTTGCTTCTGCAGCGCTGTCCAACAGAACCTTCTGCGGCGATGGAAATGTTCTGGGTTTCTGCTGTCCAACACAATAGCTACTAGCCTGGTAGTGCTACTGAACACTTGAAAGGTGGCTGCTGGCTGGATGCCGTGGCTCACGCCTGTAATATCAACACTTTGGGGTTAAATTTTGTTGAATTTAAATTTATTTATTTATTTATTTGAGATGGAGTCTTGCTCTGTTGCCCAGGCTGGAGTGCAGTGGCGTAATCTCAGCTCACTGCAACCTTTGCCTCCTGGGTTCAAGTGATTCTCCTGCCTCAGCCTCCCCAGTAGCTGGGATTACAGGCACGTGCCACCACACCTGGCTAATTTTTGTATTTTTTTTTTGTATTAGAGATGGGGTTTTGACATGTTGGCCATGCTGGTCTCGAACTCCTGACCTCAGGTGATCCGCCCACCCTGGCCTCCCAAAGTGCTGGGATTACAGGCGCGAGCCACCATGCCCGGCCTTATTTAATAATTGAAATGTAGATAGCCACATGAGGTCATATTGGACAGCGCCAGTCTGGGCCCTCACCTGGGATGGCTCATCTCTGCTCCACATGGCCTCTCACCCTTTGGAAGGCTAGACTAGCCCCAGGGCACCCCTAAGTGGGTAGAGGTGGAAGATGCAAGGTCCCCCGAGGCCTAGACTCACCCGGAACTCCTACAACATTGTGTTTACCACCTTCTGTTGGTTAAAGCAGGTTGTAAAGCCAGTCCAGATTGAGGCCAGTGGAGGTTGAAAAAGAGCTCTTGCCAGAAGTGCCAAAGCCACATAGCAGAGGTGTGTGTGTGTACAGGGAGGGGAGGAACCTGTAGCCATTTTTGGTAGTCTGTCTCATCCAGGTTCCAACCCCACTTCTACCACCCTGAGCATCAGTCTTCTCATCTGTACAGGATTAATACCATTGATTGGAAGATGCGGCCAGGCGTGGCAGCTCATGCTTGTAATGCTAGCACTTTGGGAGGCTGGGGCGGGTGGATTGCTTGAGCCCAGGAGTTCAAGATCTGCGTGGGCAACATGGCGAAACCCTGTCTCTACAAGAAATACAAAACTTGGCCAGGCGCAGTGGCTCACGCCTGTAATCCCAGCACTTTGGGAGGTCGAGGAGGGTGGATCACCTGAGGTCAGGAGTTCGAGACAAACCTGACCAACATGGTGAAACCCTGTCTCTACTAAAAATACAAAAAATTAGCTGGGCGTGGTGGTGGGCGCCTATAATCCCAGCTACTTGGGAGGCTGAGGCAGGTGAATCGCTTGAACCCGGGAGGCAGAGGTTGCAGTGAGCCAGGATCGAGCCACTGCACTCCAGCCCTGGTGACAGTGCAAGACTCCGTCTCCAAAAAAAAAAATAAAGAGAGAAATACAAAACTTAGCCAGGCACAGTGGTGAACACCTATAGTCCTGGCTACTTGGGAGGCTGAGGTAGGAGGATTACTTGAGCCCGGGAGGTGGAGGTTGCAGTGAGTTGAGATAGCATCATTTCACTCCAGCCTGGGTGATAGAGCGAGACCCTGTCTCAATAAAAAAGAAAAAAATACCATGAATACTTTATATACGAGTAAGAAAATATGTGCTGCTAATTATACTAGTTCAGAGATGTTAAAATCTGTAAGCACGTCCATGTTAGAATCCAGAGAATACGGTTGAGCACCTGCCCTGTGAGGCTGATGTACAGATGAAATGAGCTCACACTGTTATCTGGTCGGTACTTAAAGGGAGACATCACAGTCAGAAGACCTCAGTTCTGGTCCCCACTCTGCTGTCACTCAGTATGTAATACTAGGCAAATAATTTCCCTTCTCCAGGCCCGTTTTCCCATCTGCAAAGTAGGGGTGGGTGGGTAACTAGCAGCTGTCCCCAGGCCCCAACTTTGCCACGGCTGCTCTATTACTTTAGGTAATAGGTCGAACATTCTTTGCAAACTGTAAAGGGCTCTGCCTCCTCCTCCCCCACTTTCCTCCCGTGTTTGTCCTCTAGCCCCACTGCCTGCCTTCCTCAGCACTGGTGGTGGGGTTCCTGGGAGCTCAGGCCCCTGCCCTGCACTGAGTCTTCTTCCCTGCTCTCCCAGGGACCTACAAGTTGCAGAAGACAGAGCTACGGAAGGAGGGCTTTGACCCGGCTATCGTGAAAGACCCGCTGTTCTATCTAGATGCCCGGAAGGGCCGCTACGTCCCGTTGGACCAAGAGGCCTACAGCCGCATCCAGGCAGGCGAGGAGAAGCTGTGATTCCCCCCATCCCTCTGAGGGCCGGTGGATGCTGGATCCGGCGCCCCAGGTTCCGCCCCAGAGGGGTCCTGGACAAGGCCAGACCAAAGCAAGCGGGGCCTGGCACCTCCATCCTGAGGTGCTGCCCTCTCCATCCAAAACTGCCAAGTGACTCACTGCCTCCCCAACCTTTCCAGAGGCTTTCTGTGAAAGTCTCATGTCCAAGTTAACGTCTTCTGGGCAGGGCAGGCCCTCTGATTCCCAGGCTGAGACTGACGGGTCTTCTCAGGATGATGTCTTGGGTCAGGGTAGGGAGAGGACAAGGGGTCACCAAGCCCTTCCTAGAAAGCAGGGAGCTTATAAATGGAACCAGGGTAGAAGTCCCCAGACTCAGGAAGTCAACAGAGTGGTCAGGGACAGTGGTCACATCCATCCGGTGGCCAAAGAGAATTGTAGCCCCAGAGCGGCCCAAGTTCACTGGGCTCCACCCCCACCTCCAGGAGGGGAGGAGAGGACCGGACATAGGTGGCCCCTGATGCCCATCTACAGTAGGAGGTCAGGACCGCGCTCCTGGTCTCTCCCCACTCCCCATCCTCCTCCCTGGATGGCTGGCTGGCTGTCCCTCAGGCATAGCCTTTCAGTCCTTACGGGTCTGTGTCACCTCCATGTCAGTCTTGGCCTGGCTATGAGAGAAGGAGGAATGGGGGAGGGGGCTCAGGGGCCAATAAATTCTGCCTTGAGTCCTCCTAGCCTGTGTGCAAGCCACCCAAGCCCACCCTGACCCCAGAGCCCTGCAGCCCCCCTGCGGCCTACTCGATCCCCCACGCCCGCCCCCGGCCCATTCACCCACCTTATCTGTTCATTCACCCAGCTAACCTGAGGGTGCGGCAGGTGAGATGCCACAGCCCCTGTCTCCAGTGTGCTGGTTCTGCTGGGGCAGTGCCCATGTCAGTCTGGCAAGGCGTTTCACAGTGTGGGCTTGAAAGTCCAAACCAGCTCTGTCACTCTAAGTGTGTGGCCTTGGGGAAATGACTCAGTCTCCTCACCTGTGAAATGGATTCATCGGTTAAGAGGATTCAGAAGCTAAAAGTGCCGTCACGAGTAAGGGGCTTGAGAGGAAATTCACCTCAGGCAGGACTCTGACTCTGCCTGAGGTGCATTTTCCCAGTTGTTTAGGGGCGGGAAAGATATGCAGGGGTCGTGGCTGCTGTGAGAGCCAAAGCAAGGCTGCCCGGCAGCCTGGACAGAGGCCAGGGAAGCTTCCTGGAACAGTCAACACAGCTGCCCTACCAGCAGTGCCAGTGGAGAGCCAGCTGTCTCCTAGGCCCCGATGGAGGAGTCACACCCAGGCTGGAAACTCACTGCCCAAGGGGAGGGGGTTCCAGTACAGCCCAGGGCGGTGGGCAGTGCAAGCCCCTGGGCCTTTATCTCCACTATGGGCTTTCTAAGGAAAGAACCAGAACTTGGAGGTTTTCAGTTACATGGCCAACATCTCGCAGGAAGTAGAGGGGGCTGGAATGGAGCCCATGCCCTTCCTGCCACACCACCCTGCCTCCTGGTGCAGAAGGCGAGGGAAGCCAGAAAGCCTCCGTTCCACGCATGCCTGCAGAGCTGCCTCGGCCACGCCCCAGGCCAGCAGCTGACAGTGCAGGCGGAGGGTGGCCAGGCTGAAAGCTGGGGTGCCTCCTGGGGGAGTGCACTTGGCAAGACAGAGGAATCCAGTGCCTGCCTGTCTTGGGAGAATTTGAGATGCAGAGGCCGAACTGGAGTAGGGGGCCTTGCGGATCGATGCTGAGTGGTCATGTGGCAGGTATAGCTGCTGTGCCTGAGTGTGATCAGCAGAGGGCGTGTGGAGCTTGGAGAATCCGCTCCTGGCCGAGGAAAGCATGGAGAGGCTGATTCCCACCTCACCCGTGAGCAGGTCCCCAACTTAGAGGACCCTGTGACAGGCCTCCGAGGGCCTTTGGTCGGGTTTGCGAGGGCCTGGACTTGGTTGGCAGAGCGGCTTTGTGTCTTTAACCCTCAGTAGTGAGTTCTCCACAATGAGAAGAAGGAGCTCCCAGAGCGAGGCATTCCTTCCTCCCGGTTGAACATAGTCACCTGAAGGCAGTATGCAGTGGTGGTGAGGAGCTCTGGCTCTGGAGTCGAACAGGCCTGCATCCAAATCCCAGCTCTACCACTTGCCAGGCTAAGCCTCAGTTTCCTCTCCTGTAAATGGAGGTCAGGGAATCCCTATCTTGGGATAGTTGTGAAAATTCAATGAGATCATGCACAAAAATCTCAGCACTGGGCCTGGTGCTGGTGTCTGCTCAATGCGTGGTAATTAAAAGAGAAAAGGGTGATATATTTAGATGTTAAAACCCCACTTAGACTAGGCTAAGTTTCCCATTTCTGCCCTGGACCCCACTGCAGCCCCTCCATGATGGACAGGGACTGGTGAGCCTGTGACCCCTTCAGCTCTCGGGTCTGCATCTGATCATACCTCAACCATGGCCATGTGAGTCGTCTCCATGCATGCAGCAGGTGCTTAATACATGCTTGTGAAGTTAACTGACAAAAATAGCTACTGTTTCTCAGGCATTTCCTGACATTTATATAGTGCCCCCACAGTTTACAGAGCACCCTGTAAGTTCATCTATGGAGCAAAATCTTTTTTTGTTTGTTTTTTTTTGAGACAGAGTTTCGCTCTTGTTGCCCAGGCTGGAGTGCAATGGCACCACCTCGGCTCACCGCAACCTCCATCTCCTGGTTTGAAGCGATTCTCCTGCCTCAGCCTCCCAAGTAGCTGGGATTACAGGCATGTGCCACCACGCTTGGCTAATTTTGTATTTTTAGTAGAGATGGGGTTTTTCCATGTTGGTCAGGCTGGTCTCCAACTCCCGACCTCAGGTTATCCACCCACCTCGGCCTCCCAGAGTGCTGAGATTACAGGTGTGAGCCACCCCGCCTGGCCCTATGGAGCAAATTCTAAAGTGCAGGGAGGGCAGGGAACTGCCAGATGAGCAAGATAGAGACCTGGGTCCCAGATCTGCCCTCAGGGAGCCACCGTCTTCAGAGAGGGGGATGGTGGGTAAAGAAGCAAAGGCTGTGTGCTTAGCTGCACCTAATCCAGCACCCAAGCTGGGCATATCTTGGTCAGGGAGGGCTTTCAAGGAAGATTGTTCTAGATGGAGGGAGCAACCATGTATGCAGAGGTCTGAAAGTCCAGGGCCAATTAAAGAAGGGCAGGCAGGCCGGGCGCAGTGGCTCACACCTATTTCCCAGCACCTTGGGAGGCCCAGGCGGGCAGATCACTTGAGGTCAGGAGTTCAGGACCAGCCTGGCCAACATGGTGAAACCCCATCTCTGTTAAAAACAAAAATTAGGCCGGGTGCAGTGGCTCACACCTGTTAATCGCAGCACTTTGGGAGGCTGAGGCGGGCAGATCACAAGGTCAGGAGATCAAGACCGTCCTGGCTAACACGGTGAAACCCCATCTCTACTAAAAATACAAAAAATAAGCCTGGCATGGTGGTGGGCGCCTGTAACCCTAGCTACTCGGGAGGCTGAGGCAGGAGAATCGCTTGAAACCCGGAAGGCAGAGGTTGCAGTGAGCTGAGCGCTCATGTCACTGCACTCCAGCCTGGGAGACAGAGCAAGACTCTGTCTCAAATAAATAAATAGGTGAGTAAGGGCAGGCAGCGAGGCTGCAGGGTTGGGGAGCGGGGTTAGAGTTGTTAGAATCCTTTGTGGGCTCTTCTATTTGCACGCCTCCAGAGAGGAGCAAGCTTTGTTTGCAGGTCCGAGTATCAAGTCAAACCCACTTCCTTAGGTTCCCATGAATGGCCACAATGTATGGCGGACTTCTATGTGCCAGGCCCTGTGCAAAGCGCTTTAGGTGCATGATTTCATTAAATCCTCCTATTCAAAGCAGGTACCTTTTTTTTTTTTTAATCCTCCAAAGTAGGTACTATCTTGTGTTTTTGTTTTTGTTTTCTTGAGATAGAGTTTTGCTCTTATTGCCTAGGCTGGAGTACAGTGGCCCAATCTCAGCTCACTGCAATCTACACCTCCAAGTTCAAACCATTCTCCTGTCTCAGACTCAGCACCCGCCACCACGCCTGGCTAATTTTGTATTTTTAGTAGAGACAGGGGTTCACCATGTTGGTCAGGCTGGCCTCGAACTCCTGACCTCAAGTGATCCTCCCGCCTCGGCCTCCCAAAGTGCTGGGATTACAGGCGTGAGCCACCGCACCCGGCCCAAAGCAGGTACATTTTTATCCCCATTTCACAGATGAGGAATCTGAGGCTCAGAGAGGCAAAGTCTCTCCAAAGACCACAGAGTTTGTGAATGGCAGAGCTGGGAGGAAAGTCCCCTTCCCTGAGACTCAGTGTTCCCATCTGCAAATTCTCTGCTCCTCCAGGAGAGGCTGGAAGGGGCCAGCCTCGCGCGCTCCCGGAGGTCCAGCCGCCCTCGGGACAGGCAAGTGGCTACCGAGGCCACTGCGTGGTGTATCACTTTCAGTTCCTGGGAAGAAGGTTAAATACCTCCGAGGGGCCCATTGAGGCTGTGGCAGCAAAGGAGGGGTGACCGAGTGACTTTCAAAGGGGCCTGAAATGCGTAGCCAGCCCCTCCCCCCGAGGAGGGGGCCCTGCTTCCTCCTGGTCTAATGATATTCTGGGCTCAGCCCTCGTCTTTGGCGGCAGTTTAACCCGAGCCGGGGCGGATTTCTTTCTCACTGATCTCAGCTTGACACCCAATTAGCACAAGAATGGGAGGAGGAAGCCTGCGAGAGGCGCCTCCCAGCCTCCCGGGGCGCGCGAGGGGAGCAGGCGGGAAGACAAAGGACAGCAGGCAGGGGGGCACCCGCGCCCTCGCCTCCCCCACCTACCCCGTCATTGTCTCCCTACGAGCTTCAGAGAGGACGGAGGCCTACGCCCGGGCTGGCCGGCCTGCTGGAGGGAACAGGGAATGGGGCCCAAGCCCCTGTTTTGTGTGGACCCAAAGGGAAAGCATTTGGGTGAGGCTAGTCCAAGGGGAGGCAGTGAGGTCAGTGCATAGGGGCAGGGATCCCGAGGGTACTAAAGCCTGGGGCTGAGGCCTTATGGGTGCTCAGGCAAGCCACTGGTTCGGAGTCTTGGTGCTCTAGTCTTGGTGCTCTCATCTGAAAAGGGGAACGTGAAGAGTCCCTGTGAGGAGGCAATTAGGGGGTGCTTGCAATGCACCTGGCAGGTGCAAAGTGGGCGTGCAATAAATACTCTGAAAGATTATGGGTGTTACGATAATATTGTTACTAACTAAAAGGTGGAGTGGAGTAGGCTTGGGTCAGAAGGAAGGACTTTTATCAGTGACAGCTGGGCATCCAGAGTGGGCTGGCTTACCCAAAGAACTCACCAATCTCTGGACTCTGCCAGGAGAAGCTGGAGGACCACCTGGGAGATTCTAGTAGGGAGGGAGTGTCTTTGGCCCTGCACATAGACTCGCAACACCTCCTTTAGACTTGGGCTTCCATGTGACTTCCTGTGGGAAGCCTTCCGGGACCCCAGGACTAGGTTGGGGACCTCCTCTGGTTCCCACAGGCCCCGTGTTCTCCCTCCATAGCATGGATTGCTCTGTGTCTTTTGTGGTTCCCTCTATGTGGTCTCCTTAAATATCAGCCCCAGGAGGCAAGGAGACCCACAGGTTTTGGGGTTTGTTTTGTTTTGTTTTGAGATGGAGCCTGGCTCTGTCGCCCAGGCTGGAGTGCAGTGGCACAATCTCGGCTCACTGCAACCTCCCCTTCCAGGGTTCAAGCGATTCTCCTGCCTCAGCCTCCTAAGTAGCTGGCATTACAGGTGTGCTCCACCACGCCTGGCTAATTTTGTATTTTTAGTAGAGATGGGGTTTTGCCATGTCCAGGCTGGTCTCGAACTCCTGACCTAAAGTAATCCACCCGCCTCTGCCTCCCAAAGTGCTGGGATTACAGGCGTAAACCACCATACCTGGCCTACCAACAGGTTTTGTTCATCATTGTTCCCAGCAGCAACACTGGCCCTGGTGTGTAATAGGTTCTCAGTGAAGGTTTGTCCGGTGGATGAAGCTCTTCAAATGCTCCCAAGTGCTCCATTCCAGCTCTGGGAGGCAGCTTCCAGGTCAGAGGACACTGAGGTGGGTTGGAATCAGAGGCTGTAAAGAGCTCTGTATGCCTTCTAGGTAGGTTCTTAGCTTGTTGGCAAAGGGAAGCCATTAAGTCACTGATATCACTCATTCATTTACTCATTCAGCAAGCTCTTGGCAAACTCCTATAGAGTACAGAGTTCCACACTACCTGCTATAATCAAAGATGAATCAGGAAAAGTCTCTGCCCAGAAGGAGCTTAGATTCCAGTAGCAGAATCTTAGAATATGTTTGCAGAGAAGACCTTAGGAGATCATTTGGTTCCAAACTTCTTCACAGAATAGGGAAACTGAGTTCCACAGAGGGGTGGGTCACATGGCATGGTGAGGGTGAAGCCTTTCTGTGTACCACAGGACTCCTCTGCTTTCCGAGGACCAGGGCAGTGTCTCATTTGTCCTTGTTTTATAGGAACAGGGCGTGGCACATTGAAGGGGCTCAAAGCTGTCCATGGAGTTGATGTGTACAATGAAGCCAAGGCCAGAGGAGGTGGGAGGCAGGCAGGCCAGAGAGGAAGCAGGTGCAGGTGAGATGATGAGCTGGGGGGTTGGGGAGGCATGCCAGATTAGAAGAGAGACTCAGCCAGGCACAGTGGATCATGCCTGTAACCCCAAGCACTTTGGGAGGCTGAGTGGGCGATCAGAGGTCAAGATCGAGACCATCCTGGCTAACACAGTGAAACCCATCTCTACTAAAAAAAACAAAAATTAGCTGGGTGTGGTGGCAGGCGCCTATAGTCCCAGCTATTCAGGAGGCTAGCAAGAGAAAGTGGTGAACCCGGGAGGCAAGCTTGCAGTGAGCTGAGATCGCACCACTGCACTCCAAGCCTGGGGGACAGAGTGAGACCTCGCTCAAAAAAGGGAGACTCATCCAAATTGGTGACTGTTTGATATGAGGAAAATAGGCAAATTTGGGCTGTTGGTGGGTGTTGGTGGGTGGTAGTGGTATTCCTGAGATGGGGAACACAGAGAGAACCTGTTTTGTTTTGTTTGTTTTGAGACGGAGTCTAGCTCTCTTGTTGCGCCACTGCACTCCAGCCTCCCAGGTTGAAGCAGTTCTGCTTCAGCCTCCCAAGTAGCTGGGATTACAGGTGTGCACCACCACGTCCGACTAATTTTTGTATTTTTAGTAGAGATGGGTTTCACCATATTGGCCAGGTTGGTCTTGAACTCATGACCTCAGGTGATCAACCTGCCTCGGCCTCCCAAAGTGCTGGGATTACCAGCGTGAGCCACTGCGCCCGGCTGAGAGAACCTGTTTTAGGAAAGAGGCACTCTGCCAAGAACTTATTCAGTCCTCACTACAACCCTATGGGGTTGGGATGTTATTATTCCCATTTTAAAGATGTGGAAACTGAGGCACAAAGCTGTTAAGGGACTTGCCCAAAGACACAGCTAGAAAGTAGTAGGACCTAGATACATTAATTTTTAATTTTAATTTTTATTTGAAACAGTCTCACTCTGTCACCCAGAGCTGGAGTGCAGAGGTGTAATCAGCTCACTGCAACCTCCGCCTCCCAGGTTCAAGCAATTCTTGTGCCTGAGCCTCCTGAGTAGCTGGGACTACAGGTGTGC